CAGAAAAAAATTCTAATTTTTCCTAATTTCCCCCCCTCCCCTTTTTCTCTCTCTTCCGGAAAAAAAATTGAACGCGAAACGCACAAATTTTATTTCCCTACGAAGCAATCATACCTATATTCCTGAGAAAATATCGAAAGATAAGGTATATATGGTTAAAGTTGAAAAGTCCAAACATTTGGCCCGAGTTAGTAGAGATGAAGGAAAGGAGATAAGGAATAAGAAGAAGGCCAGACACGGGCGAAACGATTGGCACGATCGAATCGCGTGAATGTAGCTGTCGTCGATATACCCGTGCGTTTACGCTTTTATCGCTTGGAAACCTTCTCGTCACGGGCAACGATGCATTTATATGCCAGCCTCGTTCAAAGGCAACGACAACCTATGGAAAGAGACTGTCAGTTCCAATGCAACAGATATATCCGTTCTTTCCAGTTCTGGCAGAGAGAGAGAAGTCGTAAAATGTTGTATTTTCGAGGGAGGACAGTGACATCATATGAAACGACACGTTGAGATATGCATATTGCGGCAAATTTTTCGTAACGCGCAGTGTTGTGTATTTTTTTAAATATCGCGAATGAGAATAAAGAGAGCGATGATGGCGTGAAATGAACATTGATGTACTGTCCAACCATAGAGAAAGGTAACTGGTAACTGGTGGAAAAATATAATATATAATACGAGTTGTATTTTTGAATAATCGTTCACATTTTCACAGTGGAATTATATATTTATACGATATATATCGTAGGATAAATAATATTTGTCTCTCGTACGATTCAATTAATTATACGATAATTATTTATGAATAATTATTAATTAAAAATATTATTATAATTAAAAGTTAGTAATTTATTAATTTTGCATAATAGTGACAAGTTTTGTAATGAAACAAAGATGTACGAGTTTTATATTTTAGGTTAGGTTAGATTAGTTGTTCAAGTTACTAGCCTAGTGAATTTTCTTGTATAACACGTTTCGCAATGAAACGAATGAAGACTCACAAGTTTTTTTAGATTAATCGATCGAAGGACATACGGTGCGTACTCTTATACAATCAAAATAATACTATTAAAGAAATTTTATAAGTTACACGTTAGTAAGTTCTGTTGCGTAATAAGTAATATGATGAAACGAATGAAGATCTACTTTTTAAGTGAGGTTATGTTATATATATAAAGTAAAATATGTATAATTATACATATAATTTATATAATTAAACACTAGTAAAATGAAATTATATTCTAATTTTAAATACCAATAAAATTACAACATCTTACATAAAAAGAAAAAAAGGAATGAATAAAACACTACTTTTAAAGTACAACAAACACAAATAATAATTTTTCTCGAACTTCACTGGTAAAAAAATTTCAAATGAAAATGAAAATTACGCGACATCGTTAATTAAATCATCTCGTGTGAAATAAGTTTTCATTATTTTCGAAAATATCGTTCCTGGAAACTGTTCGGTCCACCGGCAGAGCTATTGTACAATTTCGCTGCAGAGACGACTTGTTATTATCGTCACGTATTTTTAGTCGAGCATGGAAAATAGGTTTTTAATGGCGAAATGCACGCAAGCGATCCATTTTAATCAGATTTAACTCTTGCGGTTTATACGGTTCGACACACATTGCCACGATGGGTTTCGTTGGATTTTTCAGTTGCGGTAATAAAGGAGATTGAGCAGTCACTTATAGCGGTTGATACATGATATATTACGTATAATACAAAGACAGCTAACGAACCATCTACAAGATACAGTGGAATATTCTTGCTTATTCGAGCTTAAATAAACTTGAATTTATATCTCATTTTTTTTTTTTTTTCTTTTTTATTTCTTCCTCGATTCGAGGCATTGCATTTCTCGAATACAAAGAATTATTCATTGGATTCTTTTTACAGGATATTTCACGTAATTTTCAAATGATTTTTAATCGATAACAAAATTTTAATACGAGATTCTATATAATTAGAAAATTCCAATTTTTTTGATTAATAACAATACGTGTTAAAATTTTTCTTATATTTATATATATTTCTATAAAATTAACTAATAATTAACTAAATATCGCATATAATATTTTAAAATCTCGTTCAAATCCATTTACGTCTACGTTACAATTTCTCGCGAGATATTCGAATATATTCGCTTAAATAGAGAAGTATATATTTGTCCAGGATAAAAGGAAGATCGTTCACGTGGAAAATTGGGAAATAGCGAGAGGTAATGATGGATAGAGCGGAAGTTGGTCGCTTTGACCGTCACATGGGCCGCGTTTTCGGTAGTGGAACAGGGAGGATTCTGCCTATGCCCAGATGGCTGCTTTGAATTCAAGGAAACGGAAACTTGGGGCTTGCCTACTCGGTGCATTAATTAAAGCGCGCTTCGCTTTCATGTCTGACACACCGGCGACGTTTGGGGACAGTTGTTGAACACTTTGAGAAACGCGTAATGCGAATTAATTTTGCTCGAACAACTCTTCTATTGTCTAATTACGACAAGAGTGTGATATTTGTTAATGAATATATACTGATTTTTTTTTCTTTTTTTTTTTTTTATATCTTCTTTTAGATGAAACACTAGATTCTTCACGAGGGAATTAATGAAGTCAGAATAATCCTTTAAAATAAAATCTAATTCTAATATTTTTAATATTATATTTGGGAAAATAAATTATTTAAATATTAGGAATGAAAATCTGGGTTCAAAGAATTTTGAAATACATTTAACTTTACAAAAATTGTATGCCAGAAAATATAATCTTCTACAATATTTATTATATGAATTTATTATTAAAGAAAATGATCGAGTAATTTTGTCAAAGTCATAATACAAATTATGATTATTATATATTTTTTTTTTAAATTACTGATCAGAAATTATAATACGTGAGAAAATTATAATACCTATCGTGAAATTAATATCATCGTATTTATCGAAATATTTATTTTATCATCATATCTCTCTGTAATTTAATCATTCTAACTCGATCTATAAAATATTATACGGCATGCATTGGCTACCTTGTAATTATCAAGAGTATGGGGTTCTAGTTTCTCATGTTCAAGTCAAGTTTTTACGTAATTGGAGAGGGTACATTTTTCGAAAAAGTCTGGTATGTAATTAACTTGCCGTGTGATCAAATATATTTTTACTTCGTGAATACAACTTTTGATTTTTTTCAGAAAAGTAAAATTAATATAAATACAAAAGATTTATATACTTTGTGCATCGTGCACTTCGAAGAAATAAATTCTCGATTCCATCTTGTTTATGAATTTATAAACTTGTTTAGTCCTGGATTTTTTTTAGACTGGATTTTTCTTCGAACGATAATTTAAAATCAAGATAATCCGTTATTTTTAGTTGACAATTTTCAAAATTTATCCATCTTCGTAATTACTTACCCATATTTTATCGTATCTTACGTGCATCAAGATTATCCTCTTATTAGTTCGCCGATTATGAAAATTGTGGAATTGAGAAATATATATATATATATAAAACCTAACCTAACCTAACCTAGGTTAAATACATATAGATTAATTCGAATATTCCAAAAGGTTTGCAAATGAAAAAAAAAATGAAACACTATAATTAACAATATAAACTATTATTAATTTTTCTTATTTTATAGAGATTGAAGAATCGAAAAAGAGGATATTGCAAGTAACTCCAATACCATAAAAATGATCAGAATCAGAATAATCCTTTGAATAAAATCTAATTCTAATATTTTTAATATTATATATATATATATATATATATATATATTAGGAAAATAAATTATTTAAATGTTAGAAATGAAAGTCTCGATTCAAAGAACCAAAAAAAAAAAATCATCCCCCTTACACGAAACAAGATCTCGAAAATGATTAGAAAAAGACGAAAAATATGAAAAAAAAAAAAAAAAGGATAATATAGAAAACTAAATTTCCTAACAAAGTCTTTCGTTCATTAAACCTTCCCCCCACCCCCTTCAATGACAATTTTCCCCGTTGCTTCGAAGTTGCATCGCGAAGAAGCGCGAGAAAATATCAGAACCACCCTAGGCCAGACACGGAAGTGCGCACAACTGTTCACGCGGAAGCCAGACCTGTTCACGGCAAAGTATGTACACCGTCTCGCAAGTATATTGTTAAAACATAGGGGGATCCCTTTGATAACGAGCACCGCCGCGGGTCCACCGTCTCTCGGGATAAGATTTAACGAGGATATCGCGGCACAGTGTGTTGTATGCCCTGGTGGGCCGCCGACTCCACTCTCTCTCTCTCTCTCTCTCTCCCTTTCTCTCTTTCTCTCTCTCTCTCTCTCGACTCGTAAGGACGGCTCGGCAAAGTGTGAATTTCTCTGCACTTTGATGCGTGACGCGGAAATGAAGCTCGATTCCCTTGAACCTTGCCTCGATGCATTTGTAATTCGAAAAGGGATGAAAGGGAGAGAGGGATTCTCGGGGAAAGATAGTTTCGAGATATATGGTTTGTTTGTTTGGTTGTTTGGTTGTTGTGTTTTGATTTATTATTATTATTATTAGGGATGGCTGTAAAAGTATTTTATTTTTTTGGGAGGGAGGGGAATTTTAAAAATTGGTCTTTTGCAATTTTGTAATTTGAGTAATATTTAATATTTAATCCGTTAAGTTGAATGTTATTAAAGTATAGAAGGAAGATTTTTATTTTTTATCTTATTAAGAGAGAATTGATATTATTATATTTCGATTTCGTAGTAATTAAATGTGTGATTCTTGGAATATGGATCTATCGTTTATCAGCCATTAGATTGTTATAGCGAATCGTTTGATTTTTGAAAATATATTTCCGAATTTTATTTTAAGATTTTCTTTTGAAATATATAAATTTATAGATGAGTAATATAGGTATTATTATTTTTTTTTTTTACTTGTAATTTAAATATAGATTCATTCTTTGAGAATAATTAAAAATTTTAGGATTTTTTTTTATTTATTTATTTTCTATTTCCTGTCTTTTTTCAGGAAACTTGTCAATGATCGTGCTATACAATGGACACAGGATTCTACAAGGCAGAAGTTCTGAAATTTGACAATAAATGGAGACCAAGAACATTTTCTTTTATAAATCCAAGTTTCTTCTATTGTTACAGGAGCAATGATTTATTTCAGGAACCTGAGGTAAGTTTGTCTTCTTTTTTTTTCTTTTTTTTTTTATGAATGTAGCAGAGTAATAAAAATTGAAAAAAATTTTCTATTCTTAGCATACAGATGTTGTTGATAAAAAGAAGTTACCTATTGTAAAACAGAATGAAAACTGCAAGTACAAAGGGAGAGGCTGTATATTTTTTATTTGAAATATTTAAATATGAATGGTGAAAAAGGAAGAAAAATGTGCAAAAAATAAATATCATTTTTAAGAGTATCTATTTTGCATTTAACTGCATTTTAATAAGTACTCCATCATATTTGAAATTGCATATTATACATGGCTGTCAGGCAATGCAATGCTTCAAAATGATCCAAGATTCACTTTGTGTGGGTGATATATGTATTTGCTCGCATTCCACGTGTCAGTTCAATTAAGTCTCATATACATCAAGATCCTTGATGCATAACGAGAATTCTAGGGAAAAAAAAATGAAACAGCCGAGAAGAACACTTTGATATTCAAAAAAGAAAGATTTTCTTTTGAAATATATAAATTTATAAATGAATAATGTAGGTATTATTTTTTTTTTTTTTTTTTTACTTGTAATTTAAATATAGATTCATTCTTTGTATATTTGATATTTTAGTTTTATATATTTATTATATTATATAATTAAAAAAATGTTTTTTAATTTTCACAAAACTTTATTTATAAAATATATTTTTTTTTATTTACAGTAATTTGAAGAAATATTTGCATCATATTGGAATCATATTGCAAAAATCACACTTGTTTTATTATATTATCATATCATCAATTATATTATCATAATACTGTCATAAATGTATTTTATATTTTAAAAATCAAAATTATAAAATTAAATTTTAATAAGTTGCTTTTATCTTCTACTGATTTAAAGATATTAGCCTAAAGCAAATTATATTATATTTTTATAAAATATCTTACCAATATTTTACATTTTATTAAAATTTTTTCTCTATTCTCTTTTACATTTCTATTTTCAGAACTTGATTAACTTATATGAAATATTCTATATCCATAAATGAACATTTCAAGTAACAACATCCTGATAATTACAATTAATAAAAGAATTCATTAAAAATATAATAAATTGTCGCATCTCTTGAAGATTTAAAGGTATTATATTTAAAATTATTACATTAAATTCTCATAAAATTAAATTTTATATTTTAATAAAATTTTCTTTTATCCTCTACAGTTTTAGATCAAATTGTATGAAACATCCTGTGTCCACGATATTTAACTTTCAGTAGTAAAATCAAGCAATTACAATCGATAAAAAGAATTCATTAAAAAATTCAATGAGTTGTCACACTTCTTAAAAGCCGTTCATTACCTGGCCATAACATGAAATATTTCGAGGACATCCAGTTCATTAAAAACGAGTTCTCGACTCGTGATATTAATTCTTCCCGATGGTAAGATCGAAGTGCAAACGTGTAAGAGATCTGAACAAATAGTGGGCTCTCGATGAGTTTCATTGCATGAAAGAATAATCAAATTTTAAAAATTGATCGTGAAGCTGTGATATTGTTTGGGACGTTGAATCTTTATAAAAAGTTAATTCACTTCGATAACTTCATGCGATCAAAAGATTCCAATTTTAATGGATATGAATATTTTGACACCATGAAAGTTTCTCTCAGTTCGAGGAGAATATAAATTTGATCGTGTAAACGAATTCGTGAAGCACTGTGAAAACACTGGTCGTGTTTTCTGTAAATGTTTGAAAGGAAATTGCAATGCAATTTCTTGTAGGAATAGATTGAAAAAGCGTTTAAATTCTTGTGATATAAGAAATTTTATTGGAGAAAATTTGGTATTTTTATATTCGCAATGATTAAAAGATTTTTAATGTAATAAAATGTTGAGTATAAAGTAAATTCTAATAGGAAAATAGAAAATTTTAATATTTTTTTATAGGATATAAAATTTTAATATTTAAAATTTTAATAAGAAAAATTAAAGTAAATAATATTAGTAGAAAAGATGAAAATTTTAAACATTTATATTTTTATTTATAAATCAGAATTATCATATAAAAGTATAAACTTCACAAAAGACCAAATTATACTTTGCTATACAATCTTTTAATCTTTTTCATGAAAAAACTTTTAGAAAATTAAAAAATTAAGATTAAAAGATAAATATAATCATGTTAAAATTAATTGTATTATGACAATGATCAATTGAAGATAATCTGATAAAATTAGTTCCATTTTCTAAGTGAGAATAATATATTATATGTTCAATTTTTTATAGACATTTAATCAGCTAATATAATTATCATTAACCAAAAATGATCTAAATTAGTTCATGGTTCAAAGTTCAAATTAGAGATTGCGAAAAAAATCTTGAATCCATATTTTATATTATCTTTAAAAGCAATTTTTTAAAATTCTTTGATATTATTTATGATTAAAATAACTCTGACATAATTGATACGTTTATCTACTTATAACTTAGTTATCATTTACCATTTTCCATATGTTCTTTTCTTTTGAATATATACTAACTTAATAATTTTTAAAGAATTTTTTAATTTTATTGAATGTATAAAATAATTCAGAGAAAATTTATTATTTTTATTATTGAATACTATTGTTTAGATATATTATTAGTTTCATATAATCATATAAAATATAATTTATATTATTTAAGAAAATAAAGTAAAAAGTAAACTATCTAATATTAAAATTGTATTATATAATTAAACATGATTCAAATTTTATTTAAAATTTAATTTCATAAAATAGAATTGTATAAAAATATCAAATTCTAAGAAAATTAAATTTAATGTAATATAGTTTAAAAAAAGAAATATAATAATGTTAAACTATTATTACAGATAATTAAAGTAAGAAAGAAAACGACAATTTACTTGGAGCAACTTAATACAATGAGTTCATTAATGAGGATCCATACATCACAGATTATGCAAGATATATGAGTGTTGGCCACAGGCATCGATAATTAACAGTTGAATCAAAATGATCATTCGATGTGTAATAGCATCACAATTATTCACGTCGATCGACACACTGCTGATCACGTTATACCTATTGTCACTGCATTTGACAGACGCGTCAATCAATTTATAACACAGGCACGGAAGCTATACGTCCCGTGCATCCTGAAACATGGCGATCAACGGAAGCCCTCGAAAGTGAAAAATCCCTTGAAAAATAGAACGGCTGCCAGGATGATCCGTTGTATATTGGAGATAGTTTGGTGAAAATTGAAATTTTTCATCGCGCCGCTTGAACCATTGTGCAGGTACACTACTTCTCTGTATTTATAATAAATTAAAGAATAACTTGTTTTGGATGTTATTTATAGATTGATAAAGATTGACATAGAATTAATTTTTGATAGAATTTCTTAAAGAAATTATATAATGAAATTATAAAAGAAGAAGAAATTATAAAATTCTTTATATAATAAAATTATATAAAGAAATTATATAATTTCTTAAAGAATTATATAAATTATATATTGGTTTTATGATAAAATTAATTTTTGATCACTTTTTATCTTTATAATATTTTGAGATATATAATATATTTTTATGTCGAATATTTTGTATATTTTTTTGTGTCTTCATAAATAATTTATATATAATTTTATGTGAAGGGCATAACAGAGCAAAGCAGAGTAAATTTTAAGGAAGGAAATAGGAAGGATAAAAGATATGAAAGGATCATAAAAATAAGAAATAGACATGAAGAGAAGAGAAAAAGATAGATGAAGATTAAAAATAAGAAAAAGAATGAAGAAAAAAAGAAAAAAAAGAGAAGAAACAGGAAATTGAAGAAATCTAAAGAAAAATAAAATAATAATAGATTTTAAATGTTATATTTTTATATTATATTCTTATTATAAATATTATATTTTTATTATATATTTTGTTATATTCTAAAACTTCATATTTTAAATCTTTAGATTGACAGTGTTAAATTTGAGGAATAATTAAAGTGTTAACTATATTTATAGTATTAATTTTATTGTCGTGTAATATTAATTTGATATTGGACTATTGGAAAATATTTTTTATCGTAATGGATTTCATATATTTTTATATTTTTGCATATTGTATATTTGTATTTCTATATGGTATAGAACAATATATTTTATATATTTTTTATATTTATGTATTTTTCATTTTTTTTTCCCCTTTTTTTTCAAGACAAGTTTCTTATTTGTGAACACATACAGATTATTTTGTTAACAAGTATTTAAATATTATAGATATTCTATATTATAAAATTACTGTTGTATTTATTTCCTATTCTATAATATGAAGAATTCATAATAAAAACGATTCTGATTTCAATCAAAATATATCAGAATTTTATGATTTAATTTGATATAATTATTCTGTAATATAATTACAAATATTATATGCAACAATTATGTAATAGAATATACGATTATTTCGCTCAAGAAAACTTGAATTTATTAAAAAAATTAAAAAATTTTTAAATATTTTTGTTTTTTTTTGTAAAAGGATAACAATTGACAAAGATCGTTTCTTCGTATCAATTCTTCAATTGTAAATGGAATATACTTTTGCGTCAGTTAAACGGAAATAAAATTGTCAAGGATCAACGCCATCTCGCGTTTGGATCATCGAAGCTCCAACTTGTTATTAGCATAGTAGAATATGCAAGGAGGTATGCGAATTTGCATGACGTCACAGACAAGGAACGCAATATTGTGCGAGAAAGACAGAGAGAATTTTCCACCATTACTATGACACCACATGGAAAATTCATTAATTTCTTGCTTTCTACCAAAAATTTCGATACTTTTAAGCTTGCATCTTGAAGCTAGAACCTCAGACAAGCTTCTCATAACAATTTTAATGCAAAATTCTTTTTAAATAATTATTTATTAATAATTAATTCGTCATACTCTCTATTGCATCGAAGACGCCATATTGAAAATTCATTAATTATTCGTTTCCTACTAAAAATTTCGACACTTTTAAGCTTGCATCTTGGAGCTAGAACCTCAGACAAGTTTCACATATAAATTTTATGCATAATTTTACTATTATTTAAATAAATAAACTAATTGTTTATTATTCGATTATCGAACGAAGATTCACAACTGAGATATTCTGTATAATAATCGTTAATAAATAATTAATTGAAACAAGTTTTATAGTAAAATTGTTATAGGAAGCTTGCCTGAAGTTCTAGTTCCAAGATGCAAGCTTAAAAGTGTCGAAATTTTTAGTAGGAAACGAATAATTAATGAATTTTCAATATGGCGTCTTCGATGCAATAGAGAGTATGACGAATTAATTATTAATAAATAATTATTTAAAAAGAATTTTGCATTAAAATTGTTATGAGAAACTTGTCTAAGGTTCTAGCTTCAAGATGCAAGCTTAAAAGTATCGAAATTTTTGATAGAAAGCAAGAAATTAATGAATTTTCCATGTGATGTCATAGTAATGGTGGAAAATTCTCTCTGTCTTTCTCGCACAATATTGCGTTCCTTGTCTGTGACGTCATGCGAATTCGCATACCTCCTTGCATATTCTGCTATGCTAATAACAAGTCGAAGCTTCGGTGATCCAAACGCGAGATGGCGCTGATCCTAGAAAATGTTTAAATCTTCGTTTAACTTATCGACAAAATGGATTCCATTCAAAATTTATAGAATCAAAGGAAAGGTAGAGTAATGAATAGAGTATAATTTATAAATTATTTATTTAAATAAGAATATTTAATAATATAAAAAAGAATAATAAAGAAAAAATATTTTTGTGAAGAAATTGTATTTGAAGAATATACATGCTATACATATGTAAGTAAATATTTCATCATATAAATAATACATTATGTTTTAGGTTAGTTTTTTTTCATTATAAATAAATCGTATACATTCTTATAATTATTCATTTATTCTTACTTAAAAAATAGGTTTTAGGAAATGTAATAAATAGGTTTTCTCTATTGAGAAAATGTATTGCTATCAATATGTTAAAAATTAAAACAATGGAATAGAATAATTTATGTCAATCATATTTAATACAAAAACTGTAAAGAAAATATAGCTAAAAATTATAAAAATTGTTCTGGATTTCAAATGTTTTCGTATTTTAAAGATGTTCTTAATGTAATTAATTTTATTTTAATTTTTAAATTGATTTAATTGAAAAAAGAGAAATATGAGAATAAAGATAAATAATTAGGATCTATAAAGAAAACATTCTTCTTTATCTTCTATTTTAACAATAAATATTTTGTAAGTATTACTTGTTGTAATGTAGCATAATGTACTGAGCTAAAGCAATAAAAATATAATTGTCTCTTAATATTATTATTTTATTATATAATATTTTATTTGTAGCGATTTTCAATCAAAATTGGTCGTTAATAAATGAATCTAACGTTTCCCGAGGTCTATTAAAAATTATACATATTTTTATTTTTATTTTTATTTTAAGATATTTTTATTATAGCGAATTATGTCTTTTTAGGAAACAAAAGGAAAAAAATAGAAATAAAAACAACAAGAAAAATGTATTTCATTTCGAAAATGCGACGAACAAAATATACCAATAATATTTAGAAGTATCTTTGATAATTGTAATGGACTAGAATGAAGAGAATTTTTTTCAAACAATAAAAAAAATCTTTTAATACTTTATTTATATTTTTATATGTTTGATATGTATTTTACATATATTTGAACATAAATTTTTTCTGATAAAAATTTCAATTTTGTATTAGAAGAATATAACTTGAGAAGAGATGATACACGAAATTCTTAAAATTTTATTTAAGCCATAAAATTTTTGAATATACAGTTAGAATTTTGTGATTTTATATTAAGAGAATATAACATGTAAAGAAATAGCACAAAATTTTAAAAAAAGCAAAAATTTTTGTTCAATTTTATTATACTTATTATTTTATTATACTTATACCTGTAAAATACTTACCTTTTATAATACTTACCTATTGCAGCTGCCATTTTTTAAGAATATTTTTCTTTTCTGTTTTTTTTTTTTTTTTCAGTTTTCTTAATTCTACGGATACTTACCGTTTTTATACTTACCTTTTAGAATTGCTTTTCTTGCAAATAAATATTCCTTTATCTTTTTATATTTTCTTAATAAAATATTTCAGGAATTTAAAAAGTAAGTCATGTAACTTTGTCATTTATTGAGAATTTAATTTGTTTCTGATAAACAAAAAATGTTTCAGATAAATATTGAATAAAAACTTCCATCATATCCATCGAATATTCACAAAACAAAGTTCATCTCGTTGCAAATTCCCAGACTCCCAAAATCCACGCAACGCTACTCCGGATCGATTAAGGAGAAAATTAGATCTAGAGGACCGTTATTGCACCGCGATTACCAATATTGTAGTATGCATCGATAATCGAATGGATTTCCTATCTATCGATTTTCGCTGATGCATCGATATTTCGTCATTTGCCCGTTAAATATGCGTCCGTGCCTTTGTAAAGCCATATCTTTCGTTGGATTGTTGCGTCAAATGCAATTCATTCCGCGCGATTGATTCACCATTGAAAAACTGTGTTGCAGTATGCTTTGCCTTTCGAAAAGTAATTAACAAGCAGGCTAGCGTGCATTTATTTATTCCGGAAATATTCTGTTCGGGGAACAAGCGTGAAATACGATCGGTCCTTGTCATGTTGAGATCACAGGAATCGAACGTGATGGAGCGGAATTGAAATATATACGTGTACAGGGAGTTCGGCTATAGGTATTTAAAAAAAAAAGCCAAAATAAAATGGCTATCAAGAATAAAAATAAAAAAAATCAGGACTTTAATTATTAACGATTGAAAAATAGACGAAAATATCCTTGAAATATTTCAGGTAATTTTTTTATTTTTGATTTTTGTCTTATTTTGAATTAAAACATCGCCTTTTAAATTTTTATATTATATCTATAAGTGAATATATATATATAAGAACATATACCATTGAATTTTTTATATTACGCTTTTGCACGGTTCGAGTGGAAATTCCGCTGAATGCGGCTGGCTGGTTGCATAGCCGATATAACTGATGCAAGGGAAGAACGAATACACGCGATAGAACTGCAATATTGGATAGATTTGTAATACACGAGGGATTCAGAACAATCAGCCACATAAAATGTTGGTTTTAAATGTTAAAAATGAAATGTCATGAGATTTGGGAATCTGTATTATTTTATCCTAAGTTAATTTCATGTGGATAATATTTCAAAGATATATTTGAAGATTAGCCAATATGTGTAATATCAGGTAATAATAATCCAGCGACTATATTTTTTTCTTAACCGCTCTAAAAAGCTAGAAAATAAGCTCATAAATCTTTTAAGTTCTAAAATTTAAGACCTAAGCATAGAAAGGACAAACGCCTTATCCAATTCTTTCAATTTTCCTTAAAGCGCACATAAAATAGAAAAAAAAGAAGGCACAAGAAAAAAGTTAAAGGATCTATTTTTTGAGATTTATAGCGCAAAGATAAAAAATCAATTTTTGCACGATTTAATAATCAGCTTTTCGTAGAGCGCATATAGAAAGATTACAATATAAAAAAATTTAAATTAGAGATCTTAAACATGAGAAGGCTAAACTTTATATTATATTTTATACAACAAGTAATTTCTCAGACTAAGATACATAAAAAATTCTAAAGAACCATATCTTAAAATCTAAAATTATTATAGGTAAAATAGGAAGGTTAGCCTTTGAATGGTTGATTCAGCTAGCAGTGCACGTAAGATAAGAT